CCCCCCCCCTCCCCCTGTCTACGGGCATGGTATTTGTTATTGTTTTGTTTGCCTTTCCTCTAACACTTTTTATTCCCCCGTGTCCAGGTCGCGGCAGGATGGCGGCGGCAGCTGGACTGAACGACAGCGACACGGACGGGGAGTTCATCGAGCCCTGCGAGTTCTGCGGCTCCTACGAGCGAAAACTCAAGAAGCTCTTCCTCGCGCTGAACGAGAAACTTCAGAACGACAACGAAGCGCTGAGAAAGGAGCAGCAGGACCTTGACCTCCAGGTCAAGAACCTCAAAAGAGACTTAAAGAAACTTACCGAGGAGAAGGACACAGCTTTAGCGGAAACAGACATTTACAGACAGTCTATAGAACAGCTGAATAAAAAGTTTGACGAGGTGGAGAGGAAATGTTACGAGGCAATGCGAGAAAAGAAGGACGTGAAGAACAAACTTGTGGACGTGACGAAGGACAAGGACACGTACGTCTTAAAGGAGTACGAGACGTCTAAGAAGTTCCGGGAGTTCCAGGAGAAGTCGAAGGGAGATCTCGAGACGCTGCAGAAGGCGGTGAAGAAGGAGCAGATGAGGTTTGATCGCGAGACGAAGGCGCTGAATGAGATGATACAAGACATGGAGCGGACGATCCGGAGACTCGAGCGCGGCCCGAATAAGGAGACGCGCGATACTCAGACAGAACTGCCGGAAATCGCCGTCATTTTCGAGGGAGAGATCAAGAAGCTAGAGAAGATTATCAAGCACAAGGACAACACGATCGACTCCAAGCAGCGCGAGATCCACGGCAAGGAGCGGGAGTTGCACTCCAAGGTGCGCAGGATGGAGCTGCTGGAGAAGAAAGCGGACGAGGCCGCGGGGGAAAAGATCCACATGCAGATGGACCTGAACAAGGTGCGCGTGAAGCTGGCGTACTACGAGGCTGAGTGCCGCAGGGTGAAGAAGGAGAACAGCAAACTGAAAGCGCTGCAGCAGAAAGAGCAGCAGCAGCAGCACCCGCACAGACAGGGCGTGCCGCAGAGCGCCCGGCCGGCCAACGGGGGTGCCATTAACGGACTCGCCATCAAGGAGGCAATCTGAGAAGTGGCTCCGCCCCTTTGGCGTTGCCAAAAACCCTATAGCACGGACAGGGCGTGCAGCATAGCGCCAAGCCGGCCATATTGTATCCAGAACCGTGCTTTATCCAGAACCGTGCTTTATCCAGAACCGTGTTGTATCCAGAACCGTGCTTTATCCAGAACTACTCACACACAGTTCTGGATAGTCCACGCGCATCCAAAACCCTGTATGGGGCAAACCTACGTTCTTGGATATCCAGACTATCGAGAACCTAAATCTCACCCATTGCGGCACAGAGATAGATAGGCGCGGGCTATCCAAATCCGTACCTGAGCATGGTTCTGGATAAAGCACGGTTCTGGGTACAACAGGGTAACGTGAAGGGTCGTCTCGGTGGTGTCGCCAAAATAAAGACTACAGTCTGGACTGCCGGCCACGCCCCTGTGGCGTAGCCAAAAAAGACTTCTATGATATTTAAAATACCAGGTCAGGGATTTTAGAGTGGATCAACTATTATGTTTCACGTGCATGTTAACCGTCAAGTTTGTCATTCGACTTTAAAAACAACACAAAACCCACTTCAAAACTCACTGGCCTTTTGGTACTTATATCATGTATGTCCTGTAGTCTAGCCTCTACCAGGCTTCGGGAGGCGGTCGAAAAGAGTAGAAATCGGCCAAATAGAGAGATGACATGCCAGGGGAGTTTGTCTGCTGGAGAGAACATTTTGCCTCACCCTAAAAATGTTCTCTCCCAGCAGACAAACTCCCCTGGCATGTCATCTCTCTATTTGGCCGATTTCTACTCTTTCCGGCCGCCTCCCGAAGCCTGATAGATGCTACTTTAGTCAGATATACGATATATTCCACTCTGTAGGTACCTTATGTGGTAATGCTTTTATAAACATAGGAAGGCGTTGATAATCAGAAACAATAGGTATATAATATTTCTCAACTGAAGTTATAGCATTGCAATATGTTTCCGTGGGACATCACTATTGGGGTTGCAGAGGAAGGACAGACTTTTGTATTAAAAGATAATGATTCTTAATTTTCGGTCGTCATTCTTTTTTTGTTCAATCTTTTTTTTTTGTACGTTCTATCTAGTCGACATTCTGACCTCGAAAATCTTTGTTCCATCCCAAATTGGTCTTGTCCCGGATGGGACCCTTACAGGCAGAAATGGTACATTCCGTTTTTCAGGTGTCGCCAATCATGCTAATTAACAAACGGCAAACGGTACTGAGGGTCTTCATGGGGGGATCCTGACTTCAGGAGGGACCAGAATGGTAAACGTTAAATTAAGTCATTCTGTGCAAATACTTCATTTGAATGTTCTTTTGTACTAAAGTCATGTTGATTTGATTATATGGATGACATCCGCGCGCGCATGAATTTTCGGCCGTTTCCAAAAAAAAAAGTTTTCAACCATACTTTAAATCGTACAAAACAGTTGCAAAATGAGCAAAAATATACCATAAGTTACAAAAAGATTAATAAAAACTATACCAATAAAGACGAAATTGTAAAGAAATGAACTTGAAGACTAGATTATTCGCCAAACCATATTCTTTGCCATTTGTTCAACCCTCATGACCACGTAGATTTCATAATGAAAAGAACTTTTTTTTTTGCAAATTTTTTTTTTTATTCGCACGCGCGCATCAGTTTTGGGCTCCCGGAGGATGTCATCCATATAATCAAATCAACATGGCCTAATGGGTACGTGGTAGAAACTAGTTTGCAAACTCTGTTGATTTGGGGGCAATGCGAAGAATTTTTAATTAACGGTTAACGATGACTTAAGGATTAACTAACAACGTGTTACGCGGAATAGAAAAAAACGTCCAGTTACGCTTCACAAGAATTTCCTGACAACGCTTAAGAAGGAACTTAAGCGGCCGGCTACGATTAAAACTGCTCACTGCACCTCACGGAAAAATCCATGCAGACCCTCAGTAATTATAATGATGCACGCCCAGGGTTCCGGGCAGAGCTTGTGGTTTAATATACAGCGACTCGCGAAATCCGCAAGTTTTCCGGCAACCGTACAACTTAGAATCCTGCACGTAGCGCGGGAGTTCGACCGGCTTGTTGACTAACTAAAACTAGTTCGGTTTGTGGAAACTGTTTTGTTTTGGTGTAAATATCTGCGATCTTCTGCGGGATTCGGACCCGGAAGTGACCATGGCCCTCCCGACATGGGAGAAATAAAGATTTGTCCACAACTCATAACTGGTGCTTTTGCCCGAGAACCATTTGGGATAGAACAAAGACCTATATACGTTATATCCAGAACAGGTCAGCCTCTCTGGCATTCCTACATGGAACGTGTATCAGTGGACAACAATAGATAAACAATGGCAGATTGGTTACTCTATCTAATACTGTATCCCTCCATTATTACCTGCATTAACAGAAAGGGCCGCAAAGCGGCATCCGTGTATTTGTACGTGCAGGTAAATGACTCACCTGTAGTATGTGGTATGCCTGTGTGACACCGCCGTACCTTCACACCCTCTGGCGACTTTATCCTAAACTGCAGTCTTATCTCTCCGCCGCTTCACACACTGTAACTACTTTCTTATTGTGCAAGACCTGTGGTAAATGACAGCCTTCTGCCGTGCCCTTCTAACAGATTTCTTGCACTTAGTAGGAAATAGATTTTACATATATTATTTCACGTTATTTTCTACCTTTCAAAAGTGTGTAGATTATATAGAAACTGGCTCGTTTTGTTATCGCGGAGGGATTTTTCACCCTGTTTGTGAAGCGGCCGAGTCACTTCCGCGCCATGCGGTGTGTATTGCACGATCTGTTGTAAGGTGGGTGTGCGACCGGAAAGCAGTTGGAAATTCCAGTATTACGTCCGCTTACAGGTGACGTATTGCGTCCATTTTTCTTGTAAACCTACTTAAAGATTGTAGGATTCTAAGGAGACATTTCTGTGAGCGATTTTTGAGGGAAACTTAAAGTAAAGATCGTCTTATAACCTGATCGGTTGGTGCATGCATTCCTTTGGACAACAGCACATGGTCTGCTCTCTTTGTGCCAAGTGGGTCAATTTTTCGTGCCATATTGTTTGATTGTGATGATTCAGACGAGTTGGACGTAGTTTTTGTCCTTTCGGACTGTTTTGGCTAAGATTGACTCACCAGCCAAGTTTAGAAATGGCTCATTTAGGACAGAATTAAAATGGAAAATTCTGCCGACGTAGGGGCAACGTCTGTGGGAGGGGGGCGAAATAAAATCGTCTCGTTTAGACCTTCTGTAGTTCCTGTTCAACGCTTTTTCCTGCATTAGAACAAAGTTACGCTCTCAGTTCATCAAGCGGGCCCGATTTCCGATAGTTCATTAGCGTAATTGTCCTGATTAGTGCTTAATTAGGGAACAGATCCTCCCTTTCTTGTGGTAATTTTCGCCGGCCCCTCGTGGTGTGACGTCACACCAGGGGATTCCCCTTTCTTTGGAAAACAAGAAGCGTCAGGAGACATGTCCGGACTTGTTCCTGTGTCTTACACATACTTACACACCTGTACGGGTTTTCTTAACATTAAGCCCAGACGGGAAGGCATGACAGAAGGAACCATGATGGCTTGTGCAGGTGGGGAAGAACGTTGTAGTAAATTATGTTTACTTGTCTTAGTCTTATAAAATTTACTGGATCAAAACCCTCTCTGGGGCATAATGTCCAGGTAACTAGTAGTGCTTTGGGTTCCTGTCAATCCTGTGTCTTTCACAGACTTTACCTGTGGTGTAGGGGAGTAGCAGGGGTTTCTTAAGTTTTAGCCAAGACAGGAAGACATGACAGTTGAACTTGGAAACATGGCTTGTGCAGGTGGGGGAAGAACTGTTGTTGTACTAAGGTTACATGTAGTAACGTTAGTGGTGGTATGGTCAGGACTAGCTCAGCTGGAAACATAAGTATTTTCTCTGCTTGTGGATTGAATGGTTCTGAGTTTGAAACCCAAATGTTGTTGTTTAGCTGTGTTATTCTGGAAATGACTGCAGTTGTTTGGACTTGGTCCACAGTTCAGTTGAAAAGACCAGGCATTTCACCTCACAACATTTGCACTTCATAATATAACGTCTGTGTAAGGTTACATTATGAAGTGTTATCTAAAAGATTATAATTCTTTTTAGTTGATAGTATTGTTCTTTGTGTTTCCTAATCTATGTTAAGTCTCTACTGATCGTGTCAGTTGTGTGGCCTGGAAAAACAGCTTGTTCCAAGCTACATGTCTGAAATTTGAATGAATAGAAAATTTTAGAAATGCCTTCTGCTTGTTTCAGATTCACCATGGAGGATTCCCTGCCCTTCCCTGACCTTGACACTGACACACCGACGACCTTCGCTCAGCTGTGGAACGACACGATAACTGAGGCGGACTTCGGGTAAGTTCCGCTGGCTTTACACCCCAGTCGAGAGGCCAAAGTTATATTTTCATTTCAGGAGCCTCCCCATAAATTCTGAGGGGAGAGGTGCTCCCTGGTCGGTTGATAAAAATTCATAAAAACCCTAAATTTGAACATTTTGGGAGAGGTGCTAGGATTTTGGGGAGAGGGAAATACGTTAGTAGGTATACGAATTTCTTTGCTGAGGGCACAAAAATGGGGCCTGCCAGGAATCCCAACCCAGAACTTTCAGATTCTGAGTCACAAATTAAAGTTACCCTGACATTTGTAGCCTATACAGTTGATTCCATGTTAAGGGTTCTATACTGTTGGATTCTCATGTTAAAGGTTTTGTAAGGAATTTAATTGTTGGTAGAAGGTTTTGTAAGAGATTAAATTGTTGGTTAAATGTATATGTAAGAAATTGAATTGATTTCTCTCTGTTAAAGATTTTGTAAGAGATTGAATTGTTAGTTAAATATTGGCTGGTTTGTGCTTAATTCCGTAGTTAAATGTTGTGCTTAATTCCGTAGTTAAATGTTGTGCTTAATTCCGTAGTTAAATGTTGGTTTGTGCTTAATTCCGTAGTTAAATGCTGGGTTGTTTGTGCTTAATTCCGTAGTTAAATGTTGTGCTTAATTCCGTAGTTAAATGTTGGTTTGTTAATTCCGTAGTGTCCATCCGTATGAAGGCAGCCTGCTTCCCTTTTCCAGTGACATGGGAGAGTTTTTCCAGCAGATGGAAGGGAATGTTCGGAACGTCAGTAACGACCACAGTTACAGCCAGCATTCCGTAAGTTTGTTTTGTTTATTTGTTTATTTGTTTGTTTATTCAGGAGCAGATTATATCAATCACTTTCATGGAGGCCATGGGAAAAAAGGCAGATTTTCAGGGTTGGACAAGTTTTCAAAAATCCACTTGTCCTATCGGGCAAGAACATGGTCATTTCCACTTGCCCGGACCAACTTTTCACTTGCCCAAAATATTTCTATGCATGGGCAAGTGGGCAATGGGACTTGTCCAACCCTGCAAAATAGCAAGATACAGGTTACATGGTTGAAGTCCTAATATAAGTCTGTGATATCTCATTACAATCACATTGGGCTGATCAGGAGTTTCTGTATCTTTTCTAAAATGAAAGCAAACTTTTATGTATTCACCTATTTTTTCACTGTGACAGTTCTTGCATATTCATTCAGCTAGTGGCATCGAGTCTTTTGAAACCTATTTAAGCAAAGAAATGTGAATAATCAATAATGTAGAATGTCGTATCCAGAACACTTATGAAAAACATTTGTGCCGTACAGGACCAGTCAGAACAGGACACAGCAACACCGGGGATGGAGGCACAGGACAGGGTACGTGTGGGAGATTGTTTATCTATTTGTTTAGCAGAATGACGGTACAAATCTTTATTTAGGAGATTGTTTGCTAGTTAGAACATTCGATTTATTGGAATTGGTACAATACACGTTGGACACAGGCAGCTATTGATGGTCTCGTGTCCCACACATACTCATTTCCACTTGAGTTAAGTGAGGAAAGTTGTGTAAAGTGCCTTTCCCAAGGGCACAAGATCGGTGGCATGTCAGGACTCGAACCCGGGACCTCTTGGTTCCGAGTCGAGCACAGTTATGCCACACGACCCCACAAACAACCAAACCAATGATCGCTGACAAATAGTAGTGGCTGCTACTTGAAACGTCCGACAGTTTTCCTTACAGTTTTCCCGCCCACTCCAGTCCCCGCAGGTGACCTCCAGCGTGACCTCTGGCCCATCGGCGACCTCCTCGGACGTCCCGTCCACCACGGTGTACCCCGGACCGTACAGCTTCCAGGTGGGGTTCCCCCCGCAGACCCTCAAACCCAAGTCCAAGAAGCTGGCCTGGACCTGGTCTGAACCATGCAAGATGCTCTACGCTGACTTCAACAAGGTGAAGCTTTCTGATCTGGTCACTTATGTTCTTAATCTTAAGTTAGAGATGTTAGGAAGTCACAAAGTCTCCTTCTAAGAAAATGTTTTGAGACAGACTTATTTGACAGAGGGAAACAGAACTGCACAATTTCTGTAAAGTGTGTTCTGACATTATAACTCATCTCAAGAAGTGGTTGTACTCAAGAAATAAGAATTTCTCCCCTCTCTAGTTGTTGTACATAATTTTAAGACTTTCCCTCTACTTTCCAGCGGTTGTACTTAAAAATGAAAACTTTGTCACCAGTTATTGTTCTTCTCTCCCCTCTACAGTTGTTATAGTTCAAGACATTCTCTCCGTCTCCAGATCTTTCACTTTAACTTCAGATGTTGTACTTAAGAATTAAGACTTTCCGTTCTACAGTGTTGTATTTAACATTGTCTCTCCCCTCAGTTGTTGTATTTAAGAATTAAGACTTTTCTCCCCTCTCCAGTTGTTGTACTTAATAGACATTCTCTCCCGTTTCCAGATTTGTCCCTTCAACTTCAAGACGGTGCGCCCCCCTCCCGCGGGGTGTATAATCCGCGCCATGGCGGTGTACCTGAAACACGAGCACATCGGGATGCCCGTCAAGCGCTGCGCAACGCACCGCGAAAACGACTTCAACAACTCGGACCCGCCCGCACACTTCCTGCACTGCCGGGGGAAGGCTGTCGAGTACCGGCAGGACCCCAGCACAGGGAGGCACTCGGTCATCATCCCCTACGAACATCCGCAAGGTTGGTTTTTATGTTTGTTTGTTTGTTTTAGTCTTAACAAAGGTGACGTCAGGGTCCCTTGATGGCGAGTCACTCTGTTGTCGTCTTGTATCAGCACTGACTTATTATTTATCATCATTCTGTTTGTTTGCTTACAGCTGGAACAGTATTGGAACAGTCTGTTTTGAAATGAGAGTATGGACTGAAATATGCTATACTTGCTCCTGAGCAAATATCTGCCTCTGTAGTTTGTTTGTTTGTGTGTTTATTTACAGCGGGTACGGAGTGGTCCACCATCCTGTACAAGTTCATGTGCCGCAGCACGTGTCTGAATCGACGCAGCATGGCGGTCGTCTTTACACTGGAGGACTGCAGGTAAGGGGGGTTCTACTGTGGGGGGGTCTGCTGTAGGGGTCTCCTGTAGGGGGGTCTCTGCCGCAGCATGGCAGTCGTCTTTACACTGGAGTGCAGGTAAGGGGGGGTCAACTGTATGGGGGTGTCTCAGCGTGTGAGTGTGTGCGTGTGTGTGTGTGGGGGTACCGTGCATGTATGATGTTGTGTATCTGTGATTCCTTAACATTGCCTTTGTGGTACACTCACTCACACTCACTGCTCGGCTTAGCGTCCGTTGTTCCCCGTCATGCAAGGGTTGGACGTCGTGGGGTGTCGTTTGGGTCTAATAGCTGCTCTCCAGCTGCTTCTGTCTAGCGGGTTGGCCTTCTGCAGTTTGCACTGGAAAAAGATCATTTTGAGAGAGACTAAATGGTATGTAAGTAGCCACTTAGGGTTCAATCTGAGAATTGATATGAGGGAGCTGGTTGGTTACATGAGGGAGCAGTGCCCTTATTCCCCTGTTTAGAAAAAAACCCTGTACATGTGCTTGGCTTGTAGATTTCTCTATTCCTGACTCCTTTCCTTTTTCCCCCCAGCGGCAGCGTCTTGGGTCGTCAGGCCGTGAAGATTAAGATCTGCTCCTGCCCGGGGCGAGACCGGGAACAAGACGAGGAGGGACTCCTTCCGCAGCCCGCACCTGGATCTAAGAAACGGCCCATCACAGGTACATAAATGACTCTTACTAGTCTTAGGCCACACCAATTTAATTTGTTGTTTCTCGGATTTGCCGTGTGGCCTTATTATCAGCTGGTTGGTGGATTTGTCAAGAGACTTAAAAATAGTCCAACTGGCAACTACATGTACAGACAGGGTTTGAATTAAATTGGAATTTGGATCCACGTTTAGCTTTAGCATTTAGCTTAGCTATTCTTCCAGTGGTCCATCACGTAATACAGTACAACAATACAACAATATAAAATAGCAACTGCCACACAATAACCTTTCGACATATATAATGCTTAGGATTAGGAAAGATAGTCCCGAGGAAACACCAAACAGCAGCTTTGATGTTGAGATGGTCAGGGTTCCATTCCACATGTATTTTACACTAACTTGACTTGATGCCCAAATTCTGACTTGCCTTAATTCTGACATGCCTTAATTCTGACTTACCTGAACCCTCCCAGACTCCAAGACGTCTCAAAAGAAGCGTAAGAAGTCCAGCGTGACCAGCAGCAGCACCACACAAGACGGGGAAGTCTTCACAGTAAACTGGCAGGTGAGAACTCACAAATAAACAAACAAACAAATGAAATTGTGTGTTTATCTTGTGCTCTGTCATAACACAAGGTGGTAAAGTCTTCACAGTAAACTGGCAGGTGAGAGCTCACAAACAAACAAACAAACAAACAAATAAACAAAATTGTGTCTAGTGGAGAACAGAAAGGTCAAAAACTTACAGACAGGTACAAATGACTTCAGCTGAAAATTTGAATGTTCAGGAACTTGAGTTCTGGCTTGATTTTGTTTTATTATGCCTGATTCATCATAAAAACTTCCATGTTTATTTTGTTTCTTGGGTATTTTGTCTCCGGATTGTGTGTTGGTTACTTTCTCCTGCATTACATATTATATGTTTATATTGCCCTTGTTTCTTGTGTATCTTGTCCCTTAATTTCCCCGGATTGTGTGTTGGCTATTTTCTACCATGTTTTCCTCAGATTGTTATTTGATTATTTTGTACCATGTTTTGCCCTCAGATTGTTCATTTGATTATTTTGTACCATGTTTTGCCCTCAGATTGTTTATTTGTTTATTTTGTACCATGTTTTGCCCTCAGATTGTTTATTTGATTATTTTGTACCATGTTTTGCCCCAATTGTTTATTTGATTATTTTGTACCATGTTTTGCCCCGATTGTTTGTTTATTTTGTTGTTGTTTTTCCCCAGATCCACGGCAGGAGGAACTACGAGACGCTGCTGAGAGTAAAGGAAGCTCTGGAGGCGCAACACCGGTGTGAGACTGACCCACAACACCAGTGTGAGACAGACCCTCAACACCGGTGTGAGACAGATCCACAGGTCATGGCCCTGTAAGTGGAATCTTACAAAACAAACTATCAATTTTTTTTACCAGCTGCAGGCTACCAGCATACGAGTTATTGTGTAGATTTCTCGACCAAGTCTTTCTCGTACAAAAATGTTTTTTAGGTGTTGATTGTACTTAGTATATACTGCTAAGAGTTGTGCTATACTTTTTATAATGTGTGTAGCACAACATCTGCTGTTTCCCCACTGTATTGTCTCTTTAGATAAAGTACAAATGGGTGCTGTATATGGGAACTGTTGTAACAAACATTTACTCTGTACCAACAGTGTCAGACCAGAGGTGGGGCCAGACCAGCAACAGCCTCCCACAGAGCCGACGCCCGGCAACCACACAGCCAATCACAGCCCGGCTCTCAGCAGGTCACAGGGCTCACACAGTTCCCAGGTCAGGTACACGCTGCGCCGGACCATCTCCAAACCCAAATCCTGGGAGTGAACGACCTCCAGTAACCTCCGACATGTCCTTATTAGGAAGAAAGGACCAAATACAGTTATGAGGAGGCTGGGAGCCAATCAGGGCAGCCGATTCAGGCCAACAGCATCAACCAATGGGAGCCCTGGGTTCTGTCACTGTTCTTGTTACCCCGGCAACAGTTAACCAACGCTTCAGGTTACCATGGTAATGCCCTAACACTTAGGAAAACAGAATGTCATAACTCTGGGGAGCCAATCACGAGGTGCCGACTCACAGTGGTTGCCATTGGTTACAGCCAATGAGAGCAGAGATGAGGATAAATTCCTCCTTGTGTTCTTTTTGTAGATTATAAAGACCAATATATATTATTGATATAACCTATATCATAGTTCATTATTTACCTTTGTAGTTTAGAAGTATTATTGATAACAATTATTGATCATTTTATACCTTTATTAATGTAGTCTACAGGATTTTCTGTATAATGTACATGTAGTTCAGTGAGGTGAAGAAGAGTATACACCTCAAAAGGCAGCCGAAATTTCATTCAAATACAGACATTTTTTATTCACGATTTACTCCAACTGATATTTATTTTACTCTGGAGGAAAATTGTTGACTTTTAGTATATTTTATGTTTTTCTGAAGTATAATATTCCATGTTGTCAGATGATTTTTTTGTTGGATACCTGGTGATTGAAGGATTCAGGAACTTTTATTTTATTTATCCTCCTTTGTTGATTTGTGACCAGGTTTTTGTCATTGAAAATAAAATTTTCAGTCTCGATCATGTCAGAATATGTTATGAAAAGGTGTATTGCAAAGTAAGGCTGTTATAGCTGTACTAGTGTACTAGTTTGTCCACAGATTGTTAAGTTTAATACTTGTGTTTCTTTGTCAAATGTCTGATAGTACTTATGCTATCAATAAAGATTATACCAAATGTTATCGATGAATGGTTCTGTATTGCTTTTGTAAAATTTACCATTAGCTAATAGTGTGTGTATGAAAGAAACAACAACCCAGGAAAAAGCAAACATTGCAAGTTGCAACAATTTAACTAAAAATCAAAAGTTCGTAAGTTATGATACAATTAAAAGAATTGTACAGAAGGAAACAAACCATTTGTATTTACGTAAGCCTGGTAAACACTCAAGGGCCATTCTGAAGGTAAAGGTTTATTTAAAAATGTTCACATGCACAAATGAGGGCCTGCATGCCCTTTTTCGTTAACCGTTATGGGCTATTTCAATTCACCGTTAATCGTTGCCGGCCCGCTCTAATTCAACGTTAAGCGTTATCGGTATATTCATCGTGAAGCGTTATGGGTCGTTTTAATTCAACGTAAAACGTTATTTGTCATCCTAAATTCAACGTTAAGCGCAATTGAATAATTCTTCGTTACGCCTAATTTTGCCTTTCAAAGTGCAGGAAAATGCTTCATTGAAGGTTTAAAAGTACAAAATTTCCCGGGGGAGAATGCCCCCGGACCCCCCTATATTGGTCGCGCATTTGGCGCTCGACTCGCGCTTCTGCGCTTGGTCGATTCGGCTCTAGCCAGCACCAGTTTTCCGTCTTTGCGGAGAGTTACTGAATTTTTTAACAAATCCATCAACCTTGACAGACAAAATTAACAAAAACCTTGAGTAAAAATATGAAAACATCAGAAGGAGCGACAAACACTCTCAACACCATGATTAGCCTCTCAAAATGCTGGAAATTGCGTTTTTGAAGGCTTAAAAATCCTAAATTTCCCGGGGAGCATCCCCCGGACCCCCTCAGATTGCGAGCGCCTTTGGAGTTCTCCTCTCAAAATCCATCGGTAAAACTGGGCGGACAGAAAAAAAGTCAAGCCGGGTAGAGCCCTGGCCGACGTCAACTCGGACTCCCCTTTATTTGTGGACGGACTCGGGGACCGGCAGGGCAGGTGGGAAACACAGGGAACACATACCTTTAATGCGTGCTTCATTACATGTAAGGTATACGTTATTTTGTCTGTGATCACCTTTTCTCACAAAGCGAGATACCAAATCCAGTGCAGCTCGAAAAAATAGCTGTCAATTTACCGTTAAGCGTTGTCGACGTCCTGAATTTACCGTTAAGCGTTATCGGTCCTGCTGAATTTACCGTTAACCGTTGCCAGGACCCCCCCATGCAGACCCTCACAAATGAGAGGTTGCTTATTGGATAATATAGGTTGTTGAAAAGGAAAATAATTTTAGTGTGAAAAATGAAATAAATTTCTCACAACAAAACGTATGTTAAGAACAATTTGAAGGTATATGACTTCAGCAGAACGTTAACGCACACTACACTACACATTTCGTAAGTGTAAACTACCAGAACAGCTACACGCCGACGTACGGCACACCGTGTGGGTAATCAGGTGTGAAACGCAATGACCTTTGACCCGTAGCGGATGAGGAAGCAAGATGGCGCACGTTACAGGCGATTGGAACCCGCTGGGGCAAGTTTTCTACAGGTCAGTACGTTTTACACGACCCCGGTACGGCTACGAACTGCATCAGAACTTACGGAGGAATATGTTAGCTTGCTGGGAAGATTTGGGTTTGGGCTGGTGATGTCGTTTTGTTGAGGAAAAAAGTATTGTTAAGGTGTGTACAACGTCCTGAAAAGTAAACAGGCCGACCCTTCTAAACACAGGCCTCGCCTCGCTCGCGTTTTATGAAAGAAAATTAATAATATCAACGTCATGCAGTACTAAAGAAATAACTTTATATATTAGAGATGTCATGAACGTGTTTTGTATGTAACAGTTTTCTTTATAACGTCTTGTTATATTGTTAGAGGTGAAAAACACACCAATGGAAAAAAGTCACGTCACATGATCCTGTGTATGTACTAACATAAGGGGAGGGGCAAGTCCTTGGGAGGGGTTATTCACAATAGAACGTGGCTATATACACACCCGGTGTGTATATAAAATCTATTTGTCTTTTATATACACACCCGGTGTGTATATAAAATCTATTTGTCTTTTATATACACACCCGGTGTGTATATAGCCAAGGCGTTCACAATAATGTACTAGTACACTTGTACAAGAGAGTTAACCATCATGAACCAAGGGAAAAGCACCACCGTATGTGTTGACGACAGGAAGCAGGAGATCTACACGCTGGGCTGGCGGGACATTGACCTGGACAAGTTTGTGGTGGCAGCGGCTCCATACGGCGGTCCGGTCGCACTGATCCGGGACGAGACGAAACTGGTGCGGGTCCAGGGGAGCATCAGACCGGTCATCTACATCTACACTTCCTCTGGCAGGGAGATATCTTCCATACGGGTGAGCAGGGGGGTATCGCGATGTTAGGGGGAGGCGTTAGGGGGGTGCGGGTACTAGGAGGGAGAAACGAAACAAACACCATGTGAACTTTGCACTTCATTAGTTGTGCGGTGAAACAGTGGTCATGTGACACCTGTAAATTTTGACCTTATTTGTGAGGTAGAACAGAGGTCATGTGATACATATGAACTTTGACCTTCCTTATTTCTGCAGAACATTGGCTGCCTGACCCATGAACTATGACCTTCCTTATTTGTGCAGTGGAACAGTGACCATGTGACCCATGAACTTTGACCTTATTTGTGCAGTGGAGCAGCGGGTATGTGACCCATGAACTTTGACCTTATTTGTGCAGTGGAACAGCGGTCATGTGATCCACCTGGGCTGGTCGTGTAGCGAGGAGCTACTGTGTGTGCAGGAGGATGGCAGTGTGCTCGTGTACGACATCTTCGGCCAGTTCAAACGCACCTTCAGCATGGGCACCGTGAGTACCCTGTTTGTTTGTTTGTTTGTGCGGGACGTGTAGCGAGGAGCTTGTGCACGGTGAGTCACCATGGTAACTGGTGTTGGGTTGCAAGTGAGTTGAAGAGGGGCTGCATGGTCACCATCTATATGAGTGTGAGTAGTTGGTTAAGCTGGGCCATGTGAAGGTAAACATGATGCATTTGCTTTGCATATGTTACCTTTCTAGTTGTATTTGGCGATTTCAAGTTCTGTTTTTGTTTATTCCCTTGTCAGGAAGCGAAGGAGATGAAGGTTCGAGACTGTCGGATCTTTAACAGCCACCAGGGGACCGGTCTGGCCGTGATGACCAGCTCTTATCGCATCTTCATGGTCAATAACGTGGACGAGCCGCGCATCCGCAGGATGGCCGACGTGCCAGGTACAGGAACTCCCGTGGGAGATCCTACAGTAACACTGGTGGGAGACCTCAGGTGTAACACTGGTGGGAGACCCCTGGTGTAACATTTGGGAGGTTTCAGTGGAATTTAGAAGTCCCAAAATATTGGTGAGAGACCCATAATAGCCGTAACATTGGTGGGGGACCCCTGGAGAGTAGAACTGCTGTTTGTTGGTTTGACCTTGTATGTAACTATGAGAAGATTAAATTGGCCTGCATGCCAATTTTGAGGGAACAGGGGAGGTCAGGTTCAGACAATGTATTTTATATGGTATGTCGTGATTTACTGTTGATGTGGCATGGGGGAATCTAGTGCGTTGTTTTTGCCCTGTGATGTGCAGGTCTGGACGCCCCTCCCAGCAGCTTGATGAAGGTCCTTCTGGCTTGAAGCTGTTGTCATGTTGTGGTTTACTGTTATTATAATTATAGTGTTGATATGACATGGCAGACTGTAGTGAGTTTTCCTGTGTTACTGCAGGTCTGGACGCCCCTCCCAGCAGCTGGGTAGTGATCTCCCAGGACAGACAGTCGCGAGTCCTGCTGGCTCGGGAGAACGACCTGTACCTGCTCGACCACGGCGGGCAGTACTCACGACAGGTGTGTACCTGTACCTCATGTTGCACCTGCTGAAACAGATGTGTACCTGATACATGCTGTATACATGTACAGGTGTGCTAGTACCAATGAATTATTGTTGGACCACGGCAGTTCTGTCAACAAGTTTGAGATGTCTACACACAATGTCTTTGGGCACCACAGAATTAGAACAAAACTATTGCAGCTGGCACTCCCAAATATTTGTTTATTTGTTTGTTTATTTGTTTGTTCCCAGTTGGCACCTGTGAGTCAGCAGGTGGAGGCTTACACAGAAATGGCCGTGTCGTTCAACAACAAGTACCTGGCTCTGTTCACCAACACCGGGCTGCTGTGGATCGGGTCATCAGACCTCGAAGTAGGTTGTCTAATTCTAACTCCCCTTTAACCCTAAACTGTTACAGTAACATCTGTTTAACTTGGAAGTTTTGTCCTGTTGTGGCTACCACTAGTGTTACAGTTCTGTATTCTGTTCCCACACAGAGATCGTGCTGCAAAACAACAACGAAGACAATTACTAGATCTATGACTGTTACAGTAACATCTGTTTTAAGCTGTAGTGGAGTGTTACAGTTTTGTGTCCTTTTCCCACACAGAGTGTACTGCAAAACAAGACAACTTAAACAATTATCTGTGACTGTTACAGTAATATCTGTTTTGTACATGTACATGTACTTTAGTGGAGTGTTACAGTTTTATGTCACTGTCCTGTTCCCACACAGAGAGCGTACTGCGAGTTCGACACAAAATGTCCACAGAGACCCAAGCAGCTGGCATGGTGAGTACCCAGTCAGTATTCTGTATGAGAAAAACAAAACAACAACAAACAACTGAAACATAACAGTTACTCAGCTAGCTTTTTTTTATCCTGAATGACTGTAACAGAAACACTGAAACAAGTGTGTTGATACCTGTGTCTTTGACTGCAAGGTGTGGCACAGGTGAGTTTGCACCTGTCCATTGTTCCTTCAGGTGCTAGCTATAGTGGGAGAACATAGTTTTGATGGTTGGCCAAGTAGGACTGCATGAATTGTGAAGTATAATGTGGACAGTACAGTACACCTGTAACACCTGAAACACCTGTTCTTTGTCCTGCAGGTGTGGTACAGGTGCTATAGTAGGTTACTGGGAGAACATACTGTTGATGGTAGGCCCAGGGAAGGACTATGTGAAGTATAATGTGGACAGCACAGTGCATCTTGTGCCAGAGTTGGACGGACTTCGAATCCTCAGTAACTACAGCCACGAGTTTCTGCATAAAGTTCCAAGTAAGTAACTGCACAGTTTACTTTTTCCTTATGTAGCACATTGTGCTTATAAACCTGCATTTCTCCTCTGGTCTCTCAGTCACTGACAAAAGCTAGTCGATGCTACCTGAAACGTCTGAGCGTTTCCAAAATCATATCCAGTTGCTTGAGTAACTGCTTTTTGGCATATCGTATTACCTGGATGTCTAACCTTCACTGACGTAACACATAAAGATTTTGTCTAAACGAAGTAATGACAGAAACTTTGCTTTTGTTAGCTAATGATGGAAGATGCATTGAAAAGGACAGTTTCTTCATTTCTATTTGATTTGTAATATGATCATAGTCATGCTGATACATGGCTTTAGATTGTAGTGCCTTCCAATGTTGACTGTTGTGTGGATTCGTGACTTCTTGCAGTTTCTAAAAATGGTATGAAATGTTATTAGCGGATCTAAGTCCTGTTATTGTTTCTCCTTTCCTTCAGGTGTTGTGGAGTGTGTGTTTAAGATTGGCTCCATTGAGCCAGGTGCGATGCTGTACGAAGCCTCGAGAGAGTTCCAGGTATGTCATTTATAATCTCACCGAGTGTAAGAACAGGTGTGGTTTAATGCTGGAAGCCATTGTTTAACCCTCCTCCTACGTTTGTATTCAATACACCTTTGTCCGGTGGAGTCACAAGGTTAAACACCTAGGCATGTGCTATGTATTTTCAGTGCATTTGTAACATTAAGCTTCAGCGTGCTAAGGCAGCTGTTTAGCTGTTTGAATTGATTTTGGCGTGAGGCAGCAGGGAGAATGTTAATATAACACTGTGATTTGCAGAATGGAAGTCCAAAGGCAAATTAGTACACCTTTGTCACGCATAGGCACTTAAGCAGTTATAAGGTTAAACTTAGGCGAGTGCCTTGTATTTTCAGTGCATTAGTAGCATTAACCTTCAGCCTGCTAAGGCAGGTGTTCAGCATCAGATTTGAATTGATTTTGAAGCAGCATGGAAAAGGTTAATTTTCAGACATTTTCAGACATCAGAGTTGTACCCATGTTGTGATTTGTATTAATTATTATGTGATACCCTGCATCGATTCAGCTGTATAAAGGCTGCGACTGCACGGGTACTGTTTGGACAATAACATTTTATTCTGATTGAACACTGTCCATTGCAGAACGGGAGTCCAAAGGCAGATGAGTACATCAGAATGATCCAGGACCGGCTGACAGTGGCAGTGGACCAGTGTATCCAGGCAGCAGGCTGTGAGCATGAACCTACCACACAGAGGATGTTACTCAGGGTACGTATAAACAAACAAACAAACAAACAAACAAACAAACATGTATCCAGGCAGCCGGATGTGAGCACGAACCTACCACGCAGAGGATGTTACTCAGGGTACGTACAAACAAACAAACAAATAAACAAACAAACAAACAAACATGTATCCAGGCAGCTGGCTGTGAGCATGAACCTACCACACAGAGGATGTTACTCAGGGTACGTACAAACAAACAAACAAACAAACAAACAAACAAAGAAACAGTGTACTTATCCTTTAGATAACACTCAGACTGTGTCTGAATATGTCTTCAATCTGTAGGTACAAGATGCATGAACAACTCCTGCAATTGAATGTGATTGAGTGTAACAAATCGTTCAGTGTGATATACATGTGTAGCTAGCTGCTGCCGCACCGCATGCCTGTGAAGCCGGTGTGTTATGCCGAAGGGCGGTTATACCGGCTATACAGATACAGAAGCTGGTGTGTTATGCCGAAGGGCGGTTATACCGGCTATACAGATACAGAAGCTGGTGTGTTACGCCGAAGGGTGGTTATACCGGCTATACTGATACAGAAGCTGGTGTGTTACGCCGAAGGGTGGTTATACCGGCTATACAGATACAGAAGCTGGTGTGTTACGCCGAAGGGTGGTTATACCAGCTATACTGATTCAGATACAGATACAAATTTAGGTACAAGTGTTTACATAACACTCGACTGTTTCTGTAGATGTTTCAAATCTTCCTGTTTGTAAATATTTTTTTAACGTGTAACTCTATTACCACATTGTGACTCCAAGATTGTGCAGTCGTTAATGTTTTTAAAACAGGATGTACATCTTTGAACGTAATTCAGCTTTATGCTGCAATGTTCTTGATTTTAGCAATGAACCATTTTTGATTGATTGATTGATTGATTGATTGATTGATTGATTGATTGATTGATTGATTGATTGATTGATTGATTGATTTTTCCGTTCTGCAGGCCGCGTCGTTTGGGAAGTGTTTCCTTAGCGACATGAACCCAGAGCCGTTTGTGCGGATGTGTCGGACGTTGCGAGTGCTCAACTCTGTACGGGACTTCACCATCGGGATACCGCTGTCCTGCGCTCAGTATCCTTCTTATTCACACTCTGTAAATGTTCTCATGCTGTACATACATGTAATAGTGCACCGACCATGTGGTCTATAGGCAATCGGGTGAGAAATATCCGTTTTACCTTTTATCTACCGTTTTAGAAGGTTAAATGTTTTTGTTTGTAGCATTTGTATGTTGTATGGTAACGTTTAACTTACATAATAACTCAAGTTAGAAATGTGGATGGATTGTTAAGAAATTTAGAAGATGCTTCTAGGTCTCTTGACCTATCAAAGAAAATTATGATTGAATTTCGGTTCTTCATACAGTGTGCTCCTTACACTGGCCCGCTAGGGTAAGGTGCCCTGTATAGTAGTGAATTGTATGGCTCCAAGGCTAGACAAGTGATTTTTAACACCCAGACTAACAAACATGTCCCGCCCCTCCTTAACACTCTCCCTCAGACTGGAGCAGCTGTCCATGCCCGTACTGATTGACAGGTAACAGAAATCATGTCTTTTAGATTTATTCCGTCTATTTAATGTATAAGTTACCAGCAATCTTGTCGTGAAGGGTAGACATCCAAACCATATTTTTATACAAAATGAACTGAACGAGACAGACTTATCAGACATTATATGAGTTTGAAGGCAAGTGTAATCTGTACATAATTTTTTTTTTAATTCAGTAACTCTTTATGTTATTGTCTGATTGTAGTTCATGTTGGGTCGACCCCTTTCTCTCTTCCCTCTAAGACTTGCTTTGTGAAAAAATGAACATTATTCTGCACGTTTCTTTCCCCCAGACTGGTGCTGAGAAGACAGTCTTATGTTAACGCAACACTAGGTCACTTTGTGAACAAGATGTACAGTTGACATAAAAAATTTCAAAATAATCACTGATTTATGAAAGTTCTGTCAACTGAGAATTTGCACGTTTCCACCCCCCTCCCCAGACTGGTTCTGAGAAGACAGTACCCGCTGGCGATCAGGGTCTGTCAGTACCTCAAGATGCCGGAGGCTGAGGGGGTGAGCCGCATCCTGGCTCACTGGGCATGTTATAAGGTACGGACACACAAGCAAACATACACAAATCCTGGCACACTGGGCCTGTTATAAGGTACGGACACACAAACAAACAAACAAACACACACACACACACACACATCCTGGCTCACTGGGCCTGTTGTAAGGTACGGACACACAAACAAACAAACAAACACACACATCCTGGCACACTGGGCGTGTTATAAGGTACGGACACACAAACAAACAAACACACACACACATCCTGGCACACTGGGCCTGTTATAAGGTACGGACACACAAACAAACAAACAAACACACACATCCTGGCACACTGGGCCTGTTATAAGGTACGGACACACAAACAAACAAACACACAACATACTGTACAACACATACTGGCACAACCGGCCTGTAAAATGCAGGAACTCTTGATTCTTGAGAGTGACTTTGAGAAGATATGAAAGCAGGGTTAGACTGTTGCTTGTTCATTTGGTGAGAGAACATGAAGATTGATACAACTTCATGAATTTCTGTGGTTGTTTGCAGCAACAGCATTAAATCAAAATATTATTGAATGTTGCAAGAGTTAGCCCAGTGATCTGTCCAAGCAGATGATAATGTAACAATATGCAGGGTAAGACCGTTGCCTTGTGCATAAGGTGAGAGGCACTATCAGAATATGCAAATGCAAGGTTAAACCATCATGAAAGTTCATCTGTGTTGGTAGTTACATGTTTAAACTAAGTTAAAACTTTTAGGT